CCCCCCCCTTCCAACAGCAGCAGCCAGTCCCCGCCCCTTCCGCCTCTCCCGCGCCTTCGACCGGAGCACCTTCGTCAGCAGGGGAGACTTTGCATGCGTGTGTTGTAAGGGACATGCCAAGTGAGTACCAGAGTGAGACTTAAAGTGGATTCGTAGGGGGTGAGGGGTATGCCTTGATGAACTCTATACCGNGTGAAGCTTACCCAAATACGTCATGTAGAAGGAATGGGATTCAATCTTTTCTCCCTCCACCAAGCACAGGGATTGCAACGTATTGCCTTGGACGACGTAGGCACCCATCTTTTCCATGGCCAATTGACCTTTCCCCGTGGCGAGAGGGGTTCGTCGCTTTGGGCCACACGCTTGCCGCCCAACTATGAAACGCCCACCGCTGTGCCTGTGATGCTTTTTCCCCCGGTGCCCCCTCCCCGCGCTGCTGGTGTACGTTTTCATGCGAGTGATGGTAGAGTGATGCCAGAAACCCCACCGGTGTTTTCCCTCCCTCCGGGTGTAGCATACGTTCCTTCCGCAATGTCCGGTTTCCCGCCCGCTGCAAACAGCGTAGTGCCCTCTACTGTGCCCGGTTTCCCGCCCGCTGCAAACAGCGTGGTGCCATCTACTGTGCCCGGTTTCCCGCCAGCTGCCAACAGCATAGTGCCCTCTACTGTGCTCGGTTTCCCGCCCGCTGCAAACAGCGTAGTGCTCTCTGCTGTGCCCGGTTTCCCGCCCGCTGCAACCAGCGTAGTGTCATCAATTGTGTACGGTCTCCCGCCCGCTGCGAGCAGCGTCGTTCCTCCGGCAATGTATGCCCCCCCCTCCCCCCGCTGACAGGAGTGTGGTGTTTCCTTCCGCTCCTCAAGAGCCGCATGGTATGGAGTTGGTCGCTGTTCCCGGGCTGCCCTCGCCCGACATCTCCATTTTTCAGGAGAGTAATGACGATGATGACCGTGGATGCATTCCGTACACAGAGCAGGGAGAATACGAGTGGGCTGTGTACCTATTGGAACAAAGAAAGGTATCAGAAGACCCCTACCCTACGAATTTTTAGACTTGATGTTTGAGGCTGGATTTGCAAATGTCTTCGATGATGTTGCTTTCGCTGTCCCCGTCATGGCCCCGGGCAAGCGCCCTTTGTCGGTGGGGAAACCCACCAAGGTTATTGACGTTAACCTTCTCCACGTTTCGTGCTCCCACGCCAATGAGCTTCTCTTGCGTGAGCTTGCGAAGCAGCACGGTCTCCGACCGACCGGTGTCCTGCAGCCTTGTGGTGGATGTGTGCAGGCGAAGGGGAAGAAGGCGGGCGTGCCTCACCAATCGGGCACGCGCGCGGAGCGGCCGCACGATCTTTGGCATATTGATCTGTGTGGGCCGATGACGGCCTCGCTGGGGGGTCGTTTTTCATGATCATGTTCGTGGACAGCTTCTCGCGGTGGATGAAGCTGTACGGGATGAGGCGCAAGTCGGACACCCTCGCCTTCGTCAAGAAGTTCCTCGCCGACATGAGTGGCACCGGTGTCCCTCGCGCTTTCCGGATGGACAACGGGGGGGAGTTCATCGGACGCGACTTCATCGCCTTCTGTGACAACGCCGGCATCCGCCGTACGTACACGGCGCCGGGCACCCCGCAGCAGAATGGTCCGGCGGAGAGTGCGATCTGGCGCGTGAACAAGGCCGGCCACGCCGCTCGTCTCGAGGCACCCCGCCTGTTCCCCAAGATCGACTTCACCCGCGTCCCCGGCTTCGGGCGCGATGGCGAGCGACTCTGGCTAGAATCGTGTCACTGGGCTGCCGGCGGCTTCAACCGTTCTCCGACCAAGGCAAACGTCGGGTACAAGTCGCCGCACGAGCTCTTCACCGGTCGCCCGCCACCGCTCCAGATCGTCCCGTTCTTGCAGCCGGGGTATATGCGTGTGACGCGCGCGAGGAAGATGGATCCCCAGGCAGTGCTGTGCTGCTACCTCAACAACGGCGACAACCATCACGAGTCGGCGGTCAAGGTCCTCAAGTTCGCGACGGGGCGCGTGTGCATGACGAACAACGTCGTGTGGGTCTCCGACCGCGCGCCGTTGCTGACCCCGCCGCTGGAGCTGCCGGCGCCGGCGGACGAGGGGGGAGATTCGAATGTCGCCGCCGCACCGTTTCTAATTGAGTATATTTCACCGCCTCTCTTACCCCCCTCACCGTATGCCCGACCTCCCACTTCACCCGCTGCCATACTCTCACAGGCGCCGCCGGCAACTTCCACACCACCATCGCCGGCGGCGCCGTCTACCGCAGCCACACCACCGCCACCGGTCACCGCGCCGCCTGCAACGCCGCTCGCCGCCGCGCCACCGTTCACCACCACCGCGCCGCCTGCAACGCCGTTCGCCGCCGCGCCACCGTTCACCACCACCGCGCCGCCTGCAACGCCGTTCGCCGCCGCGCCACCGTTCACCACCACCGCGCCGCCTGCAACGCCGTTCGCCGCCGCGCCACCGTTCACCACTGCCGCCTCGCCTCCGGCCTCACCGTTCACCACCGCCGCTGCACCGTCAGTAATACCGTCTCCCGCCGCCGTGCCGCCCGGTGCCGCGCCTTCCACCAACATGCCGCCGCTCACTACGAGGACCATCCGTGAACTGGACGTGGGGCGCGGCGACATGAGGGTTTCTGGGCGCACGAGGGCAGCCGCTAAGGACCAGGGGGGGGGGCGTGCGTCGTCAATGCCGCCCCTCTCTGCCAGGGCCAATCGAGAGCTGGACTTGGGACGAGAGACGCGGGTGCCAGGGAGGTTGAGGGGTCGGCGGGTGCGTTTCCAGGATGGGGGGGCCGAGCGGTCGACGTCACCTGGCGGGAGCGGCGACGCTCTCGCCCACCGCTTCGGTCTTGTTTCCCTGCAGGACAAGGCAACGCTCCTGTCGACTCTAACCACTCGCAGCATCGTCGATGGGGGGAGGAAGGAGATCCCGAGTTCAGCCGGAGGACGTGATGGAGCGGAGCCGGGGGGGCGAGAGCGGGGGGGCACAAAAACAGGCGGACTGCGTGAAGAAGTCCCATTTGCGTGCGCCACCTTGCTTGCCTCCCGCGAGGACATTGATCGCGCGATGAGGGATTTAGATCCCCCGGAAGTGGCACCGGACTTGCCACAGTGCTATGCGAGCGACTTGCGCGTACCCAAAACGTATAGGGAGGCTGTGTCCTCTCAACATGCTGACTTGTGGATACACTCTGTAGAGAAGGAGTTCAGAGGCCTGATGGAGGCTGGTACCTTTGAGGAAGTAATGTAGCAACCAGAAAGTGTTATCAAGGCGAAGTGGGTGTTTGATTGGAAATCTGATGAGTATGGATGGCCAACCAATGTGAAATCACGGCTAGTAGCGAGAGGAGATATGCAGCGAGTACATGTAGATTGTGGAGAGACGTATGCACCGACTGTAGCGGTTTCTAGCGTTCGCTTGTTGGCAGCGATGGCATGCGAGCAAAGTCTTTCTCTTCGTCATTTTGACATCAAGCAAGCATTTGTCCAGTCGGATTTGGATGAGGATGTTTT